TTTTTTTTTTGAGTCAGGGCCTCACTCTGTTGCCCAGGCTGGAGTGCAGTGGCATGATCATAATAATCATGGCTCACAGCAGCCTCAACCTACTGGACTCAGGCGATTCTTTCACCTCAGCATCTTGAGTAGCTGAAACTACAGGCATTCACCACCACACCCAGCTAAATTTTTTTGGACTTTTTGTAGAGATAAGGTTTTGCTATGTGGCCCAGGGTGGTTTAAAACTCCTGGGCTCAATCAATTCACCTGCCTTGGCCTCCCAAAGTGTTGGGATTGCAGGAGTGAGCCACCCTGCCTGGCCACAGTTTCTTTTTCTAAGGGAACTCTGACCACCTGGGAGAAAGCATTGGATGGACTATGTCCCTTTTCCTCTCACAGTGCTAGTCATACTGTAGGTGCTCAATTTAAACCTAGTCCAAGTCTCCATCTATGAATAATAGTTAGCAGGTATGGTGTGCCAGGTACTTTTCTAAATGCTTTACATATACTGGTTTATTTGATTATGTCAACCGCCATCTGAGGCAGATAATATTATCTCCGCTTAAGAGAGCAACTTGCGCAAGATCACATTGATAACAAGTAGCAGAGCCAGGATGCAAACCTAGACCACCAGGCTCTAGAATCTGGACTCTTAACCATCACCTGATACCACTTACCCCTCCCTGGCTGTTTCCTGGTACCAGAGACCAACCAAAACACTGTCTGGACATGAGACATTCCACAAGGGTTTTTAACAGATAGCAAGTGTGGTAGAGGAGTAGAGGCTGAGCTCTGGAGTCACACTGACTCAAGTTCACACCTGGCTGGGCCACTTCTTAGCTGGCCAATCTTATGCAAGTCACCAGGAATGTGATACACCTAAATATTTCTTTTCTTTTTCCTTTTGTCCCTTCCTTCCATTCATCTTTCTTGAGGCAGAGTCTCACTCTGTCACCCAGGTTGGAGTGAAGGCTCCCAAGTAGCTGGGACTACAGGTATGCTACAATACATGGCTAAATTATTATTTTTTTTTGTAGAGGTGTGGTCTCACTATGCGACCCAGACTGGTCTTGAACTCCTGGCCTCAAGCAATTCTCCTGCCTTGGCCTCTCAGAATGCTGGAATTATAGGTGTGAGCCATCACACCCAGCCAAGATTTCTGAGATGAATGCGTGAGAGTTCCAAACTTTATTTTCCTTATTCATGACACAAGAACAATGATAGTACCTACCTCACAGGGACATGGCAAGCATCAAATAGGATGATGTAAGTCAATGTCCACCAGAAAAATCACTGGAGGCAGCAGTCCACCACTGCTTCCAGTGATAGCAGTGGGTAGTGTTGTTATTGTTAATCATGCTTTTCTCCCCCCACATTCTGAGATCCTCCACTCGATATCCGCACTTATATTGTGTGTTTTTTAAAAATCTGTTTTGTGTGTCTCTTCTGATGGGCTGTACTTTCTGCTAGACTCGATGCCTGTCTTTATTTTATAGGGATCGACACCTATCACAGAGCCAGCATACAGCAGACCTCCCGTAAATATTTTTAACTGAATTTCCTCTGCCCTTTTATCATCCCTCTTATTGCCTCACTTTCATCTTCTCACTATGTTGCCCAGGCTGGTTTCAAACTTCTGGGCTCAAGCAATCCTCCCCCTTCAGCCTCCCGAGTAGCTGGGATTACAGGCGCGCCCCACCGAGCCTGGCTACCGTCACTTTTAATCCGTCCGTAGTTCTGCACCTGCCGGCCGTTTCTGTCTGCTTGGGGTCCGGTATCCTTCCCCTTTCCTCTGCTTCTCGACCTCTAACTCTTCTCGTCCCCAGGCTTAAGCCTCACCACTCATCCAGACTCCACCTTTCCCACTCTGACTCCGCCCCTCTCGGCTCAGACTCCACTTTTCCCACTCTG